TTGAACTTTGAAGGAAGTGTCAGAGAGACGGATCACCTAAGATTGGCAAGTGAATGGTAAAGCTAGAGAAACTCAACTGGGAGACTAGGTCCTGGGATTTAACGGGCATTTTCCCAGACTAATGTCTGGAAGTTCTCCTTGCAGTGATTGATACAGGGATCAGGCTCCCAAAAAAAAAGGGGAAACAACATCCCCGCCATTGTTTGAGAAATCCCTGAATGTTGAAGAGAGATGCAGTGGGTGTGCTATTTCTGGAGAAATGAACTGAGGCAGCAACGGTGGCTCAGTGGTTAGCACTGCTACCTCACAGTGCTAGGGACCCAGGTTCGATTCCACCCTCGGTTGACTGTGTGGAGTTTGCACATTCTCCCTGTGTCTGTGTGGGTTCCTCTAGGTGCTCCAGTTTCCTCCCACAGTCTGAAGATGCGCAGGTTAGGCGGATTGGTCACACTAAATTGCTCATAGTGTCCAGGGGTATAAGTTAGGTGGATTAGCCACTGGAAATGCAGGGTTATAGAGTGTGGGGATGGGTCTGGGTGGGATATTCTTCGGAGGGTCAGTGTGTGGACTGGTTGGGCCAAATGGCATGTTTCCACACTGTAGGGATGCTATGAAATGGAGGAGGCTGGTCAATTCCAGCTGTGTCTTCAAAATTTGTTGCACTTTATTTATTTCTACTAAGTTGTGTGGGAACTGGTAATCGATCTTGTGAGAGGTGGAGCTCTTCTTTGCAAAGAAAGCAGCGTTTGAAAAGAAAATTGGCCAAGAGAGTGTCTCAGATGGATGAGAAAAGGAACTCTTTTCTGGTACTGAATGTGCTTAATAAACCTCGCCAGTTTCCATTGAAATGACCTGTGGTTGCAAGGAGAGGCAGCGAGTGCTACAGCATTATTGAAGAGCCTTTGGCAATTGGTTCTAAAGTGTCAAACTATTGTTGAGGGGGAGGGTGTGTTAGTGTGAGAGAGGCAGAGCCCACATATCGCAGCAAGCAAGCACTGGTGGAAAAAGTGACGATACTTGGAACAGAGCCAGCCAAAGGGGTGATCCTTCTCAGTAACAGCAAAGCGTGTGTGTGTGTGTGTGTGTGTGTCTGTGTGTGTGTGTGTGTGTGTGTGTGTTTGTATGTTTAATTCAGTCGGGGGTGTGCGTGTGGTTGGTAGAGTTTACTGCAGACTGCAAATACAGCTCCAACACCAAATAATAGCACCTCCACTAGGCGCTCGCTGGGGACGCATTGCCTCACTTTATCAACCCACAAGCCTCTTTCTTATGAGTATACAAGCAAGGAACAAGGGTAGGCCACTCGGCCCTTCAAGCCTGCCCTGCCGTTAAATAAGATCATGGCCGATCTGATCTTAACTTCAACTCCACATTCCTGCCTATTTCCCCCCCCACCATAATCTTTCATCCTTTTGGTAATCAACAATCTATCTACAACATACATAAAGCTTCTGCATCCACAGCCTTTTGAGGAATCGAGATTTCAAAGACTCACAATCCTAAGAGAAAAAAAATGTTTCCTTATCTCTGTTTTTGTGGGCGCCCCCTTATTTTTAAACAATGACTCGTTGTTTTAAATTCTTCCTGAAGAGGGAACATTCTCCTGTACTGGTTTCTCTTTGTCTTTGTGTGTTGTGTACCAGCCCAGTCCAATTTCACTTCCAGCTCAAACCTGCCTATTAACAACTAATACAGTTCCTAATGGCATTAGAGAGGGATAGGAACAAGAATTAAATCAGTATATAGGGTAAACCCTGAATTAAATCCTCTTTGATTCAATTCCTGGCAACATTCTAGATCCCATATTCCCACTTCCAGCAATTCTTAATCCAACACTCACTAAGCTAATTCCTGACAACATTCCCAAATCCTGCTTCCAGCAGTTTCTAATCGAACGCTCCCTAATCCAGTTCCTCACAATGTTCCCGATCCCACATTCCTACTGCCAACAGTCCCAATTCCAACACTTCCTAATCCACTTTCTCACTACACTTCCTGAGTCAAATCCTTAACAACATTGCCTGATCTGAATCCTGAAATATTCTCTAATCCCATAGTCCCAAGAACGTTCCCTAATCCAATTCCTGACAACACTCCTTGATTCTATTGCTACCAACAATCCTCTGTCATTCTGTTCCCAATAACTTTCTCAGGAGTTGAAATCCAGTAACATGAGATGATCTGGGTCTTTACTTCCTCTTTACTGTTTAAATTTATGTTCTGTTCATTCTTGACCATTACTGTCAAGTCATCATTATTGCCCATCCAACTTCCAGGGAACAACTGAAGGTCTTGCTTGGTTACTTCAGAGTTTACTTGTTAGAGTTCTTAGAGAAGCTAACAACCACATAGCTAAAGGAGCACTGGTAGATGTAATGTATTAGGATTTCCAAAGGCATTTGATAATTAGGCTTCTTAATAAGATAAGAGCTCACAGTGTTTGCGGTCTTGGATAGAGAATTGGCTAATAAATAGAAGACAGAGGGCTGGAATAAGGGAGCAATTTGAAGGTCGCTACCTGTAACTGGTGGTTAATAATGTTCTGAGGTATTTCCATTGAGGTAGAGATGTGGAGGAATTTCTTGTTTCAAAGGATAGTGAATCTGAGGAATTCTTTACCATGGAAGACAGCCAAGGTTGGGTCATTAAAGTATACTCAAGGCAGAGATAGACAGACTTTTAATCAGTAACAGATTCAAGGGTTATGGGGAGAAGGTAGAATAGTGGAATTGGGAATTATCGGATTGGCCAAGATTTTTTTAAATAGTGGAGCAGACTCGATGGGCTGAATGGCCTACTTTTGCTCCTGTGTTTTATGGTTTCATGGAGGGTGAGCAGTTAACCTCACAATGTTGTGAGGCTGATGTCTCTTGCAGACCAGACTGGATAATATCGTTCCTGACTGGACTGGAGGAACACTCATTCATTTGAATGAAATGAGCGAAACTATCTGTTAGCCCGAAAAACAACACCGTGACCAAAGTTCAACCCAAGGCAATGATTTCTTTTAACCTTGCAGCATTAACAATCCAGAAGGAGACCATTCAGCCCCAATGCGCTAGCTGTCTCTCTAAAAGAGAGACCCATCTGCTTCTACTCTTACGTCTCTTTTCACATGTTGTCCTGCCTTTGGAAAGTTGCCATTAAATTTGCTCCTAATGCTTTCAAGAAGGACATTCCAGATCATAACAATTCCCTCTGAAGAAATGTTTCCCTTTGTCCGTCTGGTTCATTTATTTCACTGGCGACTGAAACCCTGGATTTCTCTTTTCTTATCCTCTCAAAGCCCATGTAATTTTGCCGACTTCTGCCAAATCTCTCCTGAACAATCTCTGCACTTAGACAGCAAACAGTCTAGCATCAATTGCATTCTTTATTTAAATTAATACTCTACCAACGTACTCTGAATGCCTCTTGAATTCCATCCAGTGTACACTCTGTGTGTGAACCTGAGGGAGTGCAGCCAGGCAACAGGGTGGAATGACCTGTGTGTAGTGGTGCTATTCTGTCATTCCCTCCTATTGAATGGCCGCCAACCTCATGAGATCTCAGCTGTTTGGTATTTTACAGGGTGGTTATAAATCCGTCCTTCAGCCCTTTTGTCTAAATGCTTCAGTAGTTCAGGCAGAAAATGGACAGGCTGCAGGGCTTTCTCGGTGTCTGAGACACACAGAATATGCAGCTCCCAGTCTGGCAGCAACGCTGACTCAACAAAGGACTCACTCCCTCTGAGCTAGACTTGCATTCGTATAGCGCCTTTAACTTCTTAGTGATCAGAGATCAGATTAATATCACACTGATCCACATGAGCACAGATAACAGAATTTTATGCATTTCAATGAGATCCCCCTCATTCTTCTAATTCCTGTGAATATAATCCTAATCGATCCAGTCCCTCCTTGTACCTCAGATCAGCCATCTCAGGATTCAGCCTGGTAAACCTTCGCTGCACTCCCTCTATAGTAAGAACATCTTTCCTCAGAAAAGGAGACCAAAACTGCGCACAATATTTCAGGTGTGGTCTCACCAAGGCCCTGTATAATTGTAGCAAGTCATCCCTGCTCCTGTACTCAAATCCTTGATCTGTGAAGACCAACACACCAGTGCCAGTGGGCACTAATTCACATCCAGCTAGAGAGAATCATAGAATCCCTACAGCGTGGAATCAGGCCATCAAGTCCACACTGAATCTGTGAAGAGCATCCCACCCAGACTCACCCCCTTACATTTCCCACCCTGGTCACTATGGGCAATTTCCCATGGCCAATCCACCGAACCTGCACATCTTTGGACTGTGGGAGGAAACCCCACGCAGACACGGGGAGAATGTGTAAACTTCACACAGACAGTCGCCCGAGGGTGGAATTGAGCCCGGGTCCCTAGCGCTGTGAGGCAGCAGTGCTAACCACTGAGCCACCGTGCCGCCCAGACCAGCTGGTTCACATCCAGGCGGTGGGCACTGGGACATATCCAGGCAGTGGGCACTGGGATTCATTATACCACTGTGGACACTGAGACATATCCATTTACCACTAACAGAGGGAACCAGGAGCTGTGGTGACAAGAGACCGACAAGAAACATGATTCTAAACTTTCATTGAACAGTACAGCACAGTACAGGCCCTTCGGCCCACGGCCTTACGTTGGGGATTGGGAAGGGAAAATAGTTTGTGTGAGACAGGAAAGCATTTCTCTGTCTCCAAAAGCAACCATTCCCAGTGACACAGGCACATTTGGAGTGGACACTCAGGCAGAGTTACTGATTCAGGCTGGGTTCCATATCTGATGGGTGTCAATTACAGATCAGACAAACTCTAAATTATTACCCAGGAGAATTGGGGAAAAAATACCCACTGGATTGAGGAATGAGGGTTACCACTGGCAGTGGCTGTATCTCTGGTGCCAGTCATTATCTTACGGGCTATGTGTTACCAGACGTGTGCCATTACTAACTTCCCCCAACCTCTGTCTCTCTCTTTTTCTCTCTCTCTGTGTTTCAGAGTAAATCCTGGAGGAAGATCAAGAACATGGTGCATTGGTCACCCTTTGTAATGTCCTTCAAGAAACGCTATCCATGGATACAGCTGGCAGGACATGCAGGTAGGCTTTGAACCTGTACAATGACTGTTCCCAGGTTGTCCATACACTCCCAAATTATCCACACATTATCCCATCCACACATCACCCCATTCATATACCACCCCATCCATACATTACCCCATCTATACATTACATCATCCATACATAACTCTATCCATAGATCATCCCATTCTATGCATTATCCCATCATATATATTATCCTATCACATATATCATGTCAACCTCTGCATTATCCAATCATGTACATTATCCTATTGTACATTATTCCAATCTGACACATTATCCCATCCCACACATCGTCCCTGTCTCTTTTCACTGAGGTATCTGACCCAATTCGGTATTCTTCAGGACAGATTATGATCCTGAGTTGTAGCAGGAGCTTCCTTCAAACTCAGGGGATTGACTAGCTCCTGAGAATCTTCCCTGAAACCTGGACACTGTGCTGTGAAATGCCAGCAACTAGATGCAAAATGCATTCATACAAAATCTAAAACACGGGGATGTGCTTCAAGTAAGATCGTAAGGAACTGATTTGACAGGGATCTATTGGATGACTTTGAGTGTGATTGATCCCTGTGTTGAGAAGGGCTGTCTGCTTTGAGTGTTTATTAACCATTGTCCTCTCAGATTAGCTCAATGTCAGGTTTGCATCATTGTGAGTAAAGGACCTGTACCATCTCAATGAACACTCTCATGAGCTGAATTTCCAATGCAAATGTATCCAAACAAATCACTTACAAAGAAAATGCAAACCATTTTAAACTAAAAGTTGTATAAGATCCCAAATTTAATCTGGTGTTTGCTGTTTGAATTAATTAAGGGAGCCAGTTTCATAGAATTTAAAAAAATGTAATCTTTACCCCAATTACTGCTTCTATAAGCTGAAGAGAGAGATCACCAGGGAAAGGAGAATAACAAGGGGGAGAAATCATTGTTGCTGCAGTTTTTTTTAATAAATACATATTTAGGATCTCCACTCTTGTGGGCAAAACTGAAATTTCATTTAAAAGCACTACATCATTTTTAAGGATTGTTCCGGAACATTGGCATCCAGCCGGCAATGTGGAAGATTGCCTAGGTATATCCTGTACACAAAAAAGCGGGACAAATCCAACCCAGCCAATTACTGTCCCATCAGCCTACTCTCAATCATCAGTAAAGTGATGGAAGGTGCCATCAATAGCGATGTCAAACAGCATCTGTTCAGCAATAACCTGCTCAGTGACGCCCAGTTTTGTTATAGATTTGTTATAATCTTACACAGTGCAATATGCTCACTTCTAATCCCTCAAAACTCCAGAAAGTATCAACCCGATTGGTCTCCTCATTAGACGATGCGTGAATTGTGTATCTGAACCTGTGGAAAGCTTTTGAGAAAGTGACATATGAAAGGCTTTCACACAGAGGGCCACCTACAGGTGGGGGGAGGGGGAGTGGTCTGAAAAGGTGTGAAGACCAATTATTAAGAGACCGAAGCCAGCCTGAGGTGGGTTTTTTTGGAGGGGGGAGGGGCTGCTGGTCAGCGGGGCAGGGGGGCACACAGTTTGTAACCTCTGTCCATACTCTCCGCAACAGGTAGCTTCAAGGCCGGAGCAAATGGCAAGATTTTGAAGAAGTATTGTGAGTGTGAGCAGAGGTGCCTGGGCCAGCTGATGGATGATGTGCTGTGCCCCTATGTGCCAGCTTACCACGGTGAGGTGGAGAAGGATGGTGAGAGGTACAACCAGATGGATGATCTGCTAGCAGAGTTTGACCTGCCCTCCGTGATGGACTGCAAAATGGGAGTGAGGTGTGTGTTACCTGGTCCCTCGTTGTGACTAATGGCAGGACCTGGGGCGGGGGTGGGGGGAGCGGGGGGAGGGAGGGGTGGGGCTGTAATGGTAATTGACGGGGTTATGACCAATGGCTGGTGTGGATGGGTGAGTGGGTGGGGCTATGGTGATGATTGGCAGGTTTGTGACCAATGACCGGAGAGTGGGAGGGGCAGTGTGATAATTGAAAGGGTTGTGACCAAGCTGTGTCTGTGTGTGTGTGTGTGCGTGCGTGCGTGTGTGTGTGTGTGTATGCGTGTATGCGTGTGTGTGTGCGTGTATGTATGTATGTATGTATGTATGTATGTGTGTGCGTGTATGCATGTGTGTGTGTGTGTGTGTGCATGTATGTATATGTGTGTTTGTTTGAATGTATGTATGTATGTGTGTGTGTGCGTATGTATGTGTGTGTTTGTGTGTGTGCATGTATGTGTGTGTGTGTGTGTGTGAATGTATGTGTGTGTGTGTGTGCGTGTATGTGTGTCCAGGGGGGTGGGGGGGTGTTTGCATGGCAGGAAAGAGTGGGAACAGGGCTGTTGGATAAGGGCGATGATGTTGTGCCTCCTCTGAATTGTGCATCATGACTGAGTGCCATTTTCTTTATTCCCACTTAAATAATCATCCTTGGCCCTAACAACCTGTATTTCACAGAATTGGACAGCACACCAGGAGGCCATTTGGCCCGTCATGCCTGTTCCAGTGCTTTGAAGGAACTATCTCATTGTCCCAGTTGTCCCACCGCTCCCGGTTTCAAAGAAATCCCCACAACTTAGCCGTAAACAGTCATTTCTATTAACCTCAAACTTGGATCTTGTAATGATTTGGAGTCAATAACGTTTTGATTGACAACCCACCCTTCTTTGAACTCCCCCCTCCCCCCAAACATCCATCTAGCTCACCAAGAGCGCAAAATGGGTAAGATCACCAAAACTCCAGGATTGCCCAGTGATCTTTAGAAATGATTGCCCCCCTCTTGGTTAGAATACTCTCTGAGAGGCAATTGTCAGTCCATTATAAAACTCCTGAAGGAGAGAGCTGGCAGTTTGAGTCATGGTCAGGAGCACGGGCTAAATGAAAGGAAGCTCTCACTTTGTTGTTTGCAATCTTCACAGGACCTACCTGGAAGAAGAGTTGACTAAAGCCAGGAAGAAGCCCAGCCTGAGGAGGGACATGTACCTGAAGATGATAGAGGTGGATCCGGACGCACCAACAGAAGAGGAGAAAGCTCAGCGTGCTGTCACCAAGCCCCGCTACATGCAGTGGAGAGAGACCATCAGCTCCACCTCTACACTGGGATTTCGGATCGAGGGAGTGAAGGTGAGGGTCACAGTTACTGCTCCAGCCTGCTTGTCAAAGCGGAGCAAGTGGGCACACCACTGGAGGTTTCAACTTATGGCCAGTTTTGGAGAGGGTTGGGGGGGAAGGTTGTCAGAGCGATTCTGCCCATTCCCACAGTGCCCTCAGCTTGGAAATGTTGGGAGGTGGGTGGCCTCACATTGTTAGGGGAGGGGGGGTGGAATTGGATTAGGGAATGTTCTTGGGACTGTGGAATTTGAGAATATTTCAGGATTTAGGAAAAGAGCAGTCTCTGATCTTTGACCAATTGTAGGCTGGGGGAATGAGGAAACACATTTCAGAGAGTGGCTGATTGATCCTGGAGTATAGTCACTGTTTGTGTGAATGTTCACCTCCACAGTCAGAGTGCCCTCTTTGGGGGGATACTCACCCTGGTACACTGGTCTGCCCAGGTGGTGTGCAGGCTCTGGTGTGGGCAGTAATAACGCTCACACTGAGAGTGGGATCCAGTGTCAGCAACCCATCGCAGAGACTCTGCAGATGTAGGGAAGTGTGGAGGGGACAGCTATCTTTCAGATAGCAGACCTCCTGCTCCCACCGCAACCCCCAACCCCATTGATGTAGCTGACGAATTAGAAACATTGCACGCGCCCTCATCAATGCCAATGGAGCTGAGGTAGAGAGGGTGGAAAGCATCAGGTTCCTAGGGGTGACGATGACCGACAACCCGTCCCAGACCTCCCACGTAGATGCAATGCTCAAGAAGGCACAACAACACCTTTCTCAGGAGGCTCAGGAAATTCACCATGTGCATAAGGACACTCCCCAACCTTTACAGATGCACCATTGAAAGCATACTGTCCAGGTGCATAGCAGCCTGGTACAGCAACTGCCTTTTGCCTGCTGATATTAGATCGATGAACGGACTGTTTAAATTCCGATGAAGTTGATCTTGTTAACGTTGATCTTGCTTCGCGCACCCCCTGTGCAATGTAACCCTTAATGCCTCACTCTGTCCAAGCACCCTATGATCTGTATGTCCTTGCTTACTATGACCTGCCTGTACAGCTCACAAACAAAACTTTTCACTGTACTTAGGTACAAGTGACAATAAATCAAATCAAATCAGGAGTAGGCCATTCAGCCCTTCCAGCCTGCTTTGCCATTCTGTAGGAATCATGACTGATCATCCAACTCCAGCTTTCTCCCAACTTCTCAAATCTCAGGTCCTTTCACCCCTCCCCCCCACGTCAGAGACCGTCGGTTTGGAGAGGCTGCACAAGATTGTGTGTAGAAGCTGTTTCTCCGAGAAGCTGGGTCTGTACTAACAGTCCGCTGTGGGAAGCTCACTGTCATACGTGCTGCGTCACATCAGTGACCAGACATCAAAAACGCTTCATTGGCCGTAAAGCTCTTAGGCTGTGCTACAAGCCGCTATATAAATGCACATTCTTTCTTTTAGCTGTGGTCCCTAATGTAATTCCTAAATCTGTTGCTGGTGTCTGGGTCTCTGGGCTAACAATAGAGAAGGGGGATTAAGGACTCCTAGGTTTCAAAACAAAAACAAAGCTGCTGGGGTTAAAATTGTTTCAGAGATAGTAGGAACTGCAGATGCTGGAGAATCTGAGATAACAAGGTGTAGAGCTGGATGAACACAGCAGGCCAAGCAGCATCAGAAGAGCAGGAAGGCTGACGTTTCGGGCCTAGGCAGGAATGCCTGGAACTGGCAGTTCTGTCAGGAACAGCAGTTGTACCTGACAACAAACTTCGAAAGGTCATGTGCTGAGGCACAAACCGAGATCTAAATTAACGTCGGGACAACAACAAAAAATAAACACGTCAACAGCAGGGAATATCCTCTCCTTTCTGCCAGCTACTCACTTCAGGGAGTGTGGGGGGTGGGGTTGGGGAGGGAGGGGTTACCGAGGCAAGGATAATGGCAAGGTATATATGATGCAACTTATTTCAGTTTGAGAGTCAGGATTTCCGACTACAACAACATGCATTCATCTAGCACCTTTAGTATACATTTTTTTTTTCCACGCGTATTTATGACTCGTGATGATCACCAATGAAATGCCTTTGAAATGCAATCGCTGCTGGAAACCTGGCACCCTATTTGCACACAGCAAGATTCCACACACCATAATGCTGTGCTGATTGAGGGATGAATATGGGCCAGGGCACCAGGGATAAATTGCCTGCACCTTGTGGTCCCGTGGGATCTTGCATTTGCCCGAGGAGGGGTACTGGGCCTGGGGACCGACACCTCATCCAAGACACGGCAGCTTGTCCAGTGCAGTGCTCCCCTCAGTGCTGCGGTGGGTTGAGGGGAGTGTTTCTGCAAACTGTCAGCTCAGAGTGAGAGTACTCAGAGCAAAGCCACAGAACAGACATCTTCCAAGGTGTTATCAACATTCAACCCTAAAC